TCTTGTACAGATTGTTTCAAAAAATGAGACTGGCAAGGAACTAAACACTTCTTACTTCTGTTGAAAGCTGGAGAGCATCTTCCAGTTGCTACAGCAGTGTGTATGGAAGTGTGCATCAGTGCAACTGCTAAGTTGGTTTGGACACAACTTAATCCCCTCCCCCTCTCATTTCTTGCTGCCACTTAACTGTATATGCTAAGCAGCAAGAGGAAATAATATGGCAACAATATATTTAAAGTGAAAAATTTGAAAGAAGTCTTAAAAATGCACCCTAAAATGACAGTTTTCTACTACAGCTTTCAGGATTGAAACAAGTAGCTGTTCAGAGCCTTTAAGGCAAAAAAAAAAAAGTGTCTTTTACGGAATCTGTAAAATTCCATATCAAGAATAATTGTTTGTTTGTTTTTTTTTTTCTCATAAAGTACTCAAGACTAATAAATTAGTAGTAGTCCTGGTTGTGATTTTGTGCATGCATGTGCATCACACAGCATACTTAGCGATGACTTTGTTCATGCTTCTCTTTTTCTTAGACACACACACACACACACACCCCCACACACACACTTCTCCTTAAATAGTAGTCTGAGCTTTGAAGCAAATCTAGTTACATTCAGATGTTAACACCTGCAGTAATTTTTCTTCTCTCCCTGTGATTTTATTGGCTTCAAGTAATTGTCAAAGAGTGTTGTTACTGCGCTTCCTGTTTGAAGCCATAGTGAACGATATGCAGTCAAAGGATACACAGAGTTCACCCTTGAAAGGAACCTTATAGATGTTATTTTTAAAACAGTGGGCTATTCTTAGGATCTATAATTAAAAAGTAGCTTTATTCTCACTGACCGTCCACAGTGTGCAGCATATTCCTGTTTGGATGAGCTAAGGTAAATGCTCTTGAACCTACTTTTTGCCAGTACATGTGAAGAGCTTGGAGGGGAGTTGGAGTTTGGTTTTTTTTAGTCTTCCTCCTTTCCTGCTCTGTCTCCAAGAGAGTTAATACTGCTTTAATAAGAAAAATTGCTGATACTGTAAGAGAATGTGCTCCACCCCCACTGTCCATTAATGCAGTGTTTGCACTTACTGCCTTTATGACTGATGTTTAACAATAAGCAGTAGTTTTGGGTTTTGCATTAGATCAGCTACTGTGGAATAAACTTCAAGAGTAATGAAAATTACCTTATAGCTTTTCACTTTAAATTTTTAAACAATGTATCATTTTTAATATCTTAATTTGTTCATGCTAGTTAAAATTTCTATAAATGGGAGGAAAATGAAGTTGTGCGTAAGGTATAAAAGCCTTAAAATGTGACAGAGCTGTTCAGCATGTTAGTCTTGTGGGTTCTTGCAATGTGAATTTAAGTTGCATTCAGAGTTCAGAAAGTTTAAATGGGAAAGAGCAAATAGGTGTTTCACCATTCATCAGTCTGATTTTAACCTTCCAGTTCAGAATGAATAAGTGCTTTATCTTTTCAACATGAGCTATATGGTGTTGTGCCACTTTGAGCATCATAAATGAAGAGCGAAAACAAAGTGATGGACCTGTTGAATTGTGTTCTTTAGCCTTCATATGGCACGTCTACACAGATGATGCAGCAACACTTGTGAACAGCACTGTATTAAAAGCTTGGTCCTGTGACAAAGCGGAGAGCTAGCTGTGAAGTATTGCACACAAATTTAGGTATCTCATTAATTTAATCACAGCCAGGTTTGGGGTGGCAGTCCAGGCTTTGGCAGGAACACTTTCTCAGGAGATTGCTAGTAGGCTGATAGCATGTAATTACCTGACCAGTGTAGGTCAGTATGGTGCTTTTTTTTTTTCTTTCCAACCAATAATTTGGGAAAGGAGAATTTTCCCGTTTCAACTTGTTCTTTAAACAAGTAACTAGCTAGCAGTGTAAGAGAAGTCCTAGTGAGTTGCTGTTGACATCACAGTGCTTGATATGCCTTTATGCCTTCAGTTTAATTGCTTTTTCTTTCCATTTTGGTGCAGCAGATTTATAGCTGGTCTTTTATATTAACCTGGCCACTGTGAAAATAATTTGTTAGCAGAGTGGGGGTATATAAAATTCCAGTGCTCTAACACATACTGCTGAGCTTTTGTTTGACTTTTAAGAGGTGCAGTTACTGTCAGTTTTTTCCAGACTTACACATACGTCCTCCCACTATTGTTTTTTTCTTTAACTAAAAGACAACAGTTTGAAAAACTGCTTGGTACTGATAGCAGAACCATGAAATTAAAGGCAAATGTGGCACTATACAGGATATGGAAGCTAAAATACATTTTTAAGAATGAACATGTTATCAGAGACTATTACTCAAGATTTCTAGCTTGAGTTTCTCATTTAGCAGCTTTTGATTTAAGGGGAAGAGACAGTTTCAGAGAATTCTGCCCTGGAGGGCACGAGTTCTGCATGCTGAGAGTGGCTGAGTGGAAGAACTCTTCTCAACCCTTGAGTACTCTGTAATCAGGAAGAGCCTAGCCTTTCAGGCTCACAGGAGCATCCACCAGTCCTTTGGGTTTGTTCTCAGGGCTTCAGCTCAACACGGTACTTAACACCACAGTGAGCTGGAGTAGCATGCCAGCTATCAGTCAGCAAATGAGGAGATTAATCGATAGAGGAATTTCCCTGCCCTTTCCATGTATGTCTTCTGTACACGAGTGTAACAACAGCATGGAAGTTAACCCTCCTTGAGAACAAGAATTTGATACATTAAATCTGAATTTTTGTCAGAAAGAGATTGTGGGGAAGCTGTAATATGCGTGTCAATTTCAGGAGTGGCAAATCAGAATATTTGGTCACTGGCACAGCAAGGGAAGCCCACTGCAACGTATTCATTTACAGGTCTGGCAGGTTATAATATATTAGACTTCAAAATGCTCTGAGTACTTGCTTTCTCAATTTATCATAACCCTGAGCAGCTAGCATTGGGGGACTATTGGTGCATTTCAGAGCAACTTGGAACCTACTTCCTCATGAGAAAAAACAAGTTTTAATGAGAAATAAGCTGTACAGTATAAGATTTACCACACTAAAATTGTCAGTTGTTACATGCTTAACAGGAGTTAATCATGTTTTCGTTCCAATTTTGTTACATATTGAATCAAGTTTAGAAAAGAATTGTGTAGCATACCAATTCTGAGACTGCAGAGAACAGTATTTTCTAACCAAGCTTTTCTACGTTAGTCCAGCTCTTGCTATGTAAAGTTTACTGAACTTTCAGTAACCAGAAGAATTGAGAAATTATCTCTAATTATAAGGTGAGAACTTCCTTAGAGACTTTTAAAGTTATTTTCATTCTTGGATTTCACACTATTAGTTGATAATTCCCATCTTTTATTGCAGCTTCTTGACACATCCATGGGATTTAGACGGTCATCTAGAAAAAAATCTAAGATGTCATATTGGCACTGTACTAAGACCTTTTTCTGAAGTGTCTAACAAAAGAAAAGTTGTGTAGAAGGATTTCTTGGGGGTTTTGAGTGGGGGTTTTTTGTTGGCTTTTTGTTTGTTTGATTTGTATTTTCTTTAGGTTTCTTCTTATCCTCAAGGTGTTCTGTTTAATAAAATTGCTTTCCTCTATATGGTCCTAGTGATAGGAAAAGCTAGCAGAGTATTTTTCCCCCCCTTCCTATTCTGATCTTTAGGCAAGCAATGCCTCAAACAGACATAGGAGAGACAAGTACTTTTGCTGGGGTTTTGCTATTTAAATGGTGTTACTACAGCATGCGTTTCTTTCTTGAAGAGTCTCTGTTACTTTCTTAAAAGGTAAGAAGTGGGAAAGCTTCCCAGAGGCTTTGGATTTAGTATGGGAAAGATGCTACTCTATTTCTGTATGTGTGCATTGTAGCCAACAGCCTGGAAAGTACCTGAATAGTAGTTGCTGCACAGTACAGTAACTTGACATGTATGTAGTAAATGAGGGACTTGATTCCTTATGTGCTTGGCATGTAGAGAACTGGTGAAGGCAGTAGTAAGTGCCACTGCTCTGCCACAGAATGTGCGTGTATGTACACACATGTGTGTATATATATATATATATATATATAGTTTATGTATCCCATGGAGTCTCGAAACCACTTCATACGGTGAGGAATGGCATACAAATAACAATGCATAGTTAAGCACACATTTCTATGAATGAAGATGTGGTTGTATATAGAATTATTAAGGAGTATGCCTGTAAAAATTTCTGTATACTCGTTATATCCCTTTGTCTGTAAGTAAAGTTTATGATAGATGGCAAGATAAATGGCCAGGGTGAAGTCTCACAGGAATTTTTATTGCAGTCTTACAGAAAGAAACTGGGTTAGAGATTGACCAGTAAACATTATTTTGGCAAAAGAATGGTTGGAATCTGGAGTCTCAGTTGTTCCACATGAGGAATTCTAGAAGTGTAAGAAAACAGTTTCAAACTTTACAAGTAATCTCCTCCTTTGAAGTCAACTGTATAGCAAGCAGGAGGGTAGAGTGAGTGTAAGGAAAATATCTTGAGTTGAGCAAGTTCAGCCATGTTGCAAATTTTCCATATTCAGAAATTTGTTTCCTTAACATTTAGAAAAGCACACCTTTGCTTGACCAGTGCAACAGGGTTGGGGTTAAATACTATTTAAACCTCACACTGTGAATGGACCTGAGCAACTTTTCCATTGAGAAATATGAAGTGTCAATAGGCACAATTCTCTTAAGAGGTTTTAGGGAGTGTATGGGCAATTGTCACTTTCTAAAATGACATTTGAAAGTTAGAAACAGATCAAACAGCGACAGCTGCCAAAAGATTGGACGCTAGCTCTTGGTATCGCTTCTTCTAACAAAAGCTGGAGTGTAAGCATCATGGATTTCTGGTGTATGCTCTTTTTGGTAGTCACTGTGTGACATGTTTGCTAGTGTCTCTTTGGTCTGTGGTTCAAGATACTACCAAGAAATCACTGGTGTGGATGGCTCTCTGGGAACACGAGATTCTGTATATTCTTTCTTTTTGATCCAATGTACTTCTGTTTTCAGGTTCCCATAACACTAGGGACCAAAGAAGCATACGTAACATTTCTGTGGTGCTGGGACCAACCTTCTGAAAGAAGACTCTGAAATAACTTTTTGCCTTCAAGTTGGCCTGGGACTGACTTGTCTTTGCAGAAGAGCTCAACAGAGAAAAGATTTTCACATTGGAATCATTATAAATAAACCTATTTAAAGAACTTGTTACCTGAAGACAGATTTACGGAGGCTGAGTCCTGCTTTTCATCTGTGTTATCACTTCAGACTGTAAACAATGAGTGAGTTTTGGTTGTGTTTCAACTGCTGTATTGCAGAACAGCCTCAGCCTGTAAGTATGAATATTGGCACTGCTTTGGTTTTGTATATTTAACTAGATTATTCACGTTTTCTGGTTTTCTTATGGCTTTTTAAATTAGTGCTGTTTGACCAAGCTAAGTGTGAGTTAAGGTTTAGGGGGGACAAAAAGTCTATTGTCGCACAGATGTTTTCCTGTCCTTAGATCAAATCTATCCAAAGTCTCTGCGAAGAGTTTGAGTTGAAGAGGAGGGGAAAGAAAGGCTGAGGACCTAAACTATCATTCTGGAAGTAATTTTTGATTGGAGATCTGTAAATACCTTGACTTCTGTATGGGTTAAGGCCTGCCTTTGGGTGTGACTGGACAATGATGAGAGAAGGAAATGATTCTATTAAAAAATCCAAAGTGAAATCCAATTCTCCTCCACCTTAATTTAATTAAGGATTTCAGCCTTAACTGTTTTGTAAATTTTTATATTAACCTTAGAGTGAAGGGATTCACTCGTATTGCAAATGCTCTTTTTTTTTTTTTTTTTTTTTTTTTCATTTTAAAGCATATGTAAGGAAGAAAGAAAGTACAGAAATATTCTTGGGTTTCATATACTGTATACTGTAAGTACCTTTAGAATGTGTTCCTGAGGCCAGTGCTGTTGGGATGAAGTCTGCCTGCATAAGGTGGAATTAACCAGGAACATGGTTAGCACAGTGAGAAAAATCATTGTGTGGTATGGCATACAGATCAAGCTAATTGAATGTATAGAGAGGACTGTCATCTTGCAAATAACGTGGAAAAGAAGCCAGTTACTACTAAAGGATATGCTGGAGTTACAGTGACCAAGAAAATACCAGACTGAATAGAGCAAACATAGTAATATGCTCTGATGTTAATATTTGGCTTTAGGGAAGCCAAAGGGTTAAAAAAAATAATCTAAAGTTAAGTGTTGCCATTGCACAAAGCCTGAATGCCAGACTGATCCTTGCATGGCAATGCGAATAGTGTGACCATTAACATTTCTAACAAATGAGTGTAATTTATCTTAGTCATGTAGAGCTGTGGGAGATGAACTCTGAGAGGCCAACATGGGAAGCTGCAATTCTCTCCTGTTACTCGAATACCATGCAGTCCTTCAAAATGCTAACTGTGTCCATATATAGCCAAAGTTAATTGCCTAGGTTTTGGAACATATATTTAAATTAAAAATGAGGTATGACTTTTTCTATCTTTGAGATAGAAAATGACATGTTCTCTTTTTTTACATGAATCCTGAGCCTCAGTCCTTATAAAATCTTGACTCAAGCTATATAATGAAGTTAAGTTACTGCCCAAGAAATACATAGTATGTTAATACAGCATGTAGTGATCTGTGGGTCCTGACTAATGGAAGGGTGGAGACCATATTTAAAAAGTGGAGAAAAGGGAAACAACCCACTTTTGTATGTTTGCTGATCTGGTGGTGTGCATTTGCTTAGAAAATTAAAACCATCCTCATGTTTAAGATACAAATAGCACATTGCTGAGCATTGACCCAGTTCCTGAAACCTTCCTTTCAAATGTTGTAAGAGCCTTGCCTGTTATGAAGTGCCAGAATTCTTCATGACACATCTCAGAAAAAAGAGTTGTGGGCCCTCCTTGGCATGCTTGACAATAAGTGCTTATCTGTCCTTCCCCTGCAGTTACTCAGCTCATTTTGCTGTGTTGTGTTGTACAGCCGTTGTTTAGCCATGCACTGTTGCAGTAAAGGGAGTATTTAATGAGATACATACACATCTGAGTAAGTACGGGAATGTTTTTCCTCTGATATGTAGCAAAGCATGTACTGTCAGTGAGAGCAAACTGATAAATCAGACAAGTAGTAAGGAAGCAGTTTTTCCTGTCATTGCAGGTGTTGCGTAGTTGCATGTTTGGGAAACATATGTGCTGAAAAAACATGCCAGTTTTCAGCCGCAAAATACCAGTACTTATTGCCTGGTTGTATCAAAAGATAGGTGAAACATGCAAACTTGTGTAAAAGCTACTTGTCTGTCCCCTATTATTCATTCTATCTGTCAGTTGAGTCTAGTTTCGCAGGAGAAATGCCTTATCTGCCTGATTTAATCTCTTCCACGTGCCTGCTTTCATTTTACCTCCTGCATCCTGACTACTTCATGGCCTAACAGTGTCCCAGCCATCACTTTCATGTTCAGTCATTACAAGTTCAGCATGCTCCTTCTGTGGAAGGACTAATGTGGTCTTGTAGCCATGCTGACAACCACCAGCCTCTCAGAATAAAGACCTTAAAAGCAGGAAGTTACTTAATTTGCTACTTGTTCCTGATCAGTGCTTAAAGTGTTCCTTTTGGTTTTAAAGTTACATTCTCTGAAATGTGATTTTTTTTTTTTTTCCTCCTCCTCATTTTCTTTGGTCTGATAACTGGGACAACTTTAATGTCATGGATAGCGATGTAAATTTTAAGCCTGTTCACTGGAGAAGAAAAACCTGGAACTTTCAGTAGTCACATGTTTCTGTGATATTTATAGCTTCCACTGAGCTAAGGAGTTTTCCTCCTCTCTTGAAATCCAGGATGCAGGAACTATCTTTGTTGCTTTCTTCTGGCAAAATTCTAGCATATTATGAGTCTTCGGTATGGCACCTCTATTCTTCGCAGCTGTAGTACTCTTCAAATGGAAAACATGTACATGCACCGAGTCCAGTCAATTTTATAGAAGACTATTATTCAGACTCTACAGAAAGGCATTTTCTAGGTTATTGCCAATGCTCTGTATGCCTACCAGACTTGTATTCTGATGCTTTCCAGTGCATTTTCATGGCTTCAAACCATGTATTTTAGATAAGATTTGCAAACTTTATGGCAGTAAGGACACATTACTTAACCTAATTTCACTGCCATCACCTCCCTAGAGCATACCCCAGAGCAGAACAGTAACAATTTTGAAGTAATATTAGCATACTTTAGGAGGTTCCTTAATTAAAAGACAGTGTTCAAGTACTACCATCATCTTTTTTTGAAATGTATCACAGCACAGCTTTTTGTCTTTTGTTGCTAAATGGATGCACCCTGTAACTGTGAAATGAAACACAGGGATCTTGGAAAACGGTGTTCTACTCTCTCTCCTAATGTTACTTTGGTTGCTAAACATTTCACTTGGTTGTTTCCAAGACTGCAGTACTCAGAAGATCATGGTAGGGGAATGTTTGAACATTATGCTTCTGTGAAATAGGGTGATAAATGAGGACATCGAGTATGCAAAAAACAGAGCTAAATAGTGATATAATTGAAAGAAGTATGTTCCTGGTGGTGTCTTAGATCTTGCTTCTTAATAGCCTGAGGTCTTTATCATAGCAGAATGCAAACAAAAGCCAAGGGAAGGTATGCTCCTATCAACTTCTAGTTTTCTCATCTGATTTGGATTGATAATACATTTTACCACAATGTAGACTTCAGGCAACTAGTTGCTTTCATACCTGATTTCATGGTATCAAGGAGGGTGATATTAATCTCCTAATATTTATGTTCAGGTTTTCTTGGTTTTTTAAATAGTCTGAATTCAATCTCTTATGATCTGACCCAAACCTTTTTTTATTTTGAGAAGAGTAGCACTTCCTATGATTGCACCAGGTTTCTTAATACCTCCCACTGATACTTGGTACAGGTTCTGTATGCTGATCTTGTACTTTCCAGTGACAAGGTGAGTCTTTCTTCCCATGTTTCCTATGTGCCATTATCCCATCCACTGCTAGGTTTCAGTAAACTCTGCCAAATCCCCACTACTGGATGCATTGCTTGGTAACAAGAAGTTTAGAGAGACCTTTTATTTTGCATGTTTTCAGAGAACACGTCCATGGTTTCTTTCTTAGGCTGAGCTTGTCATCTACACCAGGAGTCTGTTATTTTCCTCCGATTTTTTTTGGTGTGTTCTGTCTATTTTTAACCTGCAAAGTTTGGTCTGAGAAGCCTTTGGTCATGATCTGGTGCATTCTCACCTGGTTTGGGTCACCAGACCAGTACAGACGACCTCTTCAGTTTCCTTTGACCTTGCAGTAAGATTACTGCATTGCTATAAAAGCATAAATTGTGGTCTCCTTGCTCTGAGCTTCCTTCTCTAGTTATTTCTGTTTTGTTGCTTGTCTTTTGTTTAGATGATTTCCATTTTGTGTTTTGTCAAAAGGCTATTACGGTTTTGCTGCATGCTGTGCCATAAATGTTTAAAGTTGTTTAGAAAGTAAATTTTCCTTTGTATCTTTTTGGACGTATGAAAGAGGATTGACAGATCTATATTGGGAGTGGGGAGGCTGATCTTAAAATACAGGCAGAAAAACCCTTGCACATACTGCTCTATGTATTTATCAACTGAACTGAATACTGAATGCTACAGAAGACATAAACGACTTAAGAGAATGAACCACTGATGGGTATTGTCAGCTCTAGCTTTTTTTCTAGAAAAGTAGCCACAGATAAAGGCTACATCTACCACTGCAACTCCTGAAAACTTGACCACAGTAAGGACAGTGTAGCATTCGGTATGCAGAATAAATCACCTTCAGTAGGCACGCACTGTAAATCAGGTGTTTGCTACTGAACAATTACTGGGCCAGGCTCCCTCTTCAGTACAGCAGGGCAGTACAAGCACAGCTTCTGGCTTGAAATGACTGAAACTCCGGCTCACTTATTCATTACATTTGATCAGCTTACCACATTCAGTAAGCCTATGAAAGACTCAAATATAAAAGGTGACAACTCTAGAGAGCCCTCAGATTTCAGAGTTGTCATACTGAGTTACATATTGAGCTGCCAGATCAGATGTTTCAAATTCTTTTTCCTATTCAGCATTGTTGTAGAAATAGCCTGAGGGAACACCTTATCAAAAGGAGCAGAGTTAAATAAGCAGCAAAATGCTTGACTGTTATTTCTCAATCTGATCTGGTTGTGCTTTTAGCCTGATAGAGCTGCTTTAGATTTTTCTTTTACCTTTAAAATAGCCCCCATGTCTTAAAATATCTGTTGTGATGTTCAAGTGTTAAAATGTTTACAAAAA